AACATGTGAGAGTCTAGTTTTCCAAATAGCCGAGTTGTTTCTTCTCTGCATGTGGCAGTGGTCCCTATTGGAACATCCTGTTATCAACCAGCCAGTACCAACCTCGGGGCCTCCTGCTTTTGCATCCAGCTCTAGCCTCTTTCTACCGTTTTTGATGCGCCTCAGAGCTGGAGATCTGTAAGAAAATAGTAGGGGGAACTGTGTGCACCCTTTCCAAGCCTCATGCTTTGAGCCTAGACTGCTCGGTGAGGTCCCTGGGCAGTGGTCACAGTGCTGTGCTTTCTTCTTGCCATTCACAAGAGTTATGGCCTGTTAGTAACCTCTTTTGAGGTCCCCATGATGCCTTTAAGAGAGAGCATGCTTGCTTCCCAGTAGCTGTAGCCTTTCCCAAAGGGTTTATATCCGATGTGTCTTTGGGGCTGGTAGGCTTGGGGTGAAGAGCTTTCCCCACGCAATTGCCCTTCGAGGCCTTCAGCCCTTTGTAGCTCTGTGCTCCGAAGCGTGCACAGAACGTGTTCTTCAAGGGGCTCTTCTGCAGCTGCAACAGGAGATAATCCAAACTGTTCCAGCTGCCGAGTGAAAACCTTCCTTCCTTTCTCCTCCCAAGTCAGCGGCCATCCCGCCAGGGTGGAAGGCGTGTTATTCCTGTGGGCAGAACAGCTCCTCTCCAAGCACAGGGGCTGCTTTTCCCTGCAGGACCTGCTCTCTCCGGAAGGCRTTGCTCTGTAGCAGCAGTCAGGCTAGGCTTCCAGGCTGCGTTTTTACCACGGTGTTGATTATTTGCCTCTGTGAGCAGTACCCTGCTCACTATGGGTTGTCTCAGGTGATAGCACTGRGAGCTGCTGCTTCAAAGCGTGGGCTTAATGAGAGCCTTGCAGCGGTGCCTTGTTAAGGGCGCCCTTGCTGTCCAGTTGCCTTGATCCATTTGGCAGGAACGTGATCTGCTCCTGATCTGCTGCTGCCCGGTGCCCTCACGGCGCTGCCTTTTCCTACCTTTTAGACCTAAATCTTTCTAGAAGTGGGAAAGCAGGAGCTGGATAAGAGACAACTGCAGTTGCTTAGGCAAGAGAGCAGCTTCAATGGTTTGAAAGCCTCAGTAAAACACTACCTGTTAACTGTGGCTAACACRGAGTAAAGGTGGTGGTGTGTTTGCAGTGATGGGTCGTGTTTGCTGTAAACTGACGCTCAGCTGTGTCTTGTCCTTATGGAAATAGCTGGTGCCCACAGCCTTGCGCCTGAGCTTCAAAGTGGAGGTGTGTGTGAGCGAGCGAGCGGCTGCCAG